CCTCAGTCATAAATAACTATCCATTCCTCAATTGGTTGTGCTGCGTCCCAACAGAGAGCTCTGGGAATAAGGTTTATTTGCTCCCTGTTGGGATTAATCCATAAATGTAACCTCCGCATGGAACTCATCAGGTCTTTGCTTCCTCTTCATTAGTCTCCCTGGAACTGAAGGGTAGCCTGAAAAACATGAAAATTAGGATAATATATTTTCAGAGAGAAAAGGTCTGGCAATCTCTAATTTGTGTTTCAGGACTTTCAGGACTGTAATGCTGTGGAAAATCTCTCAAATGATGTTGTCTGAGAAGTAATGCTTATTATGCTTGCTGTATTTGAAGACTGAATGTGTCAATTACCTCTAATTTTTGTTAAGGCTTCCAAAGCTAATTGTAGTCTTAGGCTAACTAGATTGACTTCCAGGCTTCTTTCTATCCATGGTGTAACTTAGAATTCCTTTCTCTTGACAGATCTTTTGGTCTCCTAGCCCAAGGGCTCTGAAATGTCACAGTATGGCCTATTAAAGAGATCATCTCACTATGGCCCACCCAATTCTTTCCTCCTTCCTTCTGTTCTCAGTCTCACCTCTGATTAGACAGCAACTATAGAAATACACTTGCCCTCCCCTGAGACCTGTTAAAATTGGTATTCATTATATTTGATGCAAGAATGTTTTCAATCCAGGCTCCAACTAGAAATGGCACGGCTTTTTTTTTTTTTATCATTTTTGTTTTGAAGTGTCTAACATTTTTGTCAGTCTTTAAAGGACACCCTTCASTCGCAGTTGAAGTGAAGGGGCTCTCCTGACCACAGGAAATACTGAAATCCCCAATCTGATGTAAGACGGTTTCTGTAAGCCAGAGTCTTAGTAGCTATATTATTTGCTGGTGCGTTCTTAGAGAGCATTTTTATCTATACAGTCTTGCAACATATCATGCAATTTTTGACAACTTTTAGTTTTTTTTCACTTAAAAACTCAACTCACTCTTAAATATCTTTTATCAAGATGTAATAGTACTTTAAGAAAACTAATTAATAACCACTGGAAGAATCYCACATGCTTCCAGAAGTCTGGAAGAATCCCACATGCCTCCAGAAGTCTGTGCAGGTCCTGACACTTGGCTTTAGTCTTCAGTGTTGTGTTTGCCACAAATTGCAAGCTGTGTGCTTGGTTGTTTTCATGGCCTAGCTGTCATTCAGTACTACAGCTGCTGGGAAGAAATGGCATCTGTTTAAAATAAAATAAAAAAAAAAACTGCTTAGTTTAAAGCTCTTTGGTGCATTTTAAATGGATTTTATGATGCAAATCATTGCCCTTAGTGATGGGTCTCAAAAGGATATCTTCACGCTAAGTACTAGCATAGTGTTTATTGCACTTATCTATGTGGTTCCATTACTTTGTTGTCACTGCTGTTGTAAATCACTATTTATTACTTGAAGTGTCCTCACCGTTTGTTTTCAACTCTTTGAAAAATACAAGATTTTTTTTTTTTTTGCTTGCTGAAATTCATACATCCTCATCATCGATCTGGCCGTTTCCCAGTGAGGTGAATCCTTACAACCCTGGGAAGGTGAGTGCTCTGCTTCTACCCTTAAGCTTCCCAGCTGAGCCCCATCAGCACCCTCCTTGGGAGGCTCGTGCTGTGCCTCAGTGAGGCCTTTCCTGCAGCCGGGACCAGCGTGACGTGCCAGGCTGCAGCCCTGCTGCCCTCCGTCCTGCCCCAAGCTGTGCTTTAGGGTGGTCGTGGGCCCCGCTGGCAGCCTACACAGAGAGGCTGGGGCACCTTTGGAAGCTCCCGTGTGACTCCCTTGGTGCTCTGCTATTTTCTGCAAAGGCAGGTGCAGTCCCGGCACCTGTTTGCTGTAGTGCATCTTCATAGAAAATTTAGTTTAGGAACATGTGTCTGCTGGGTGAGGAAAACCCAGCTGAACGTGGGTTTTCTCCAACAGGCTCCTGTGTGCTTGTGTGACAGTCCTCTCCTCTGTTCCCCATTTTGTAGTGGGGCTGGTACAGGCGTCCGTGTACACGTCTGTTGCTAGAGGGGACTTCCTGGGAAGCAAGATTTTTTGAGAAATCAATTACACGAAGGAATGGAGTCCGGACCAGATGGCAGGGATCTCAGGCAGGGACCTGAGAGGTACTCCTGGGAAAGCCACACACAGAGCCACACGAGGCTGCTTAATCAGATACATCAGTGAGCAGATGTCAGTGCATTGGCAGAGCAAGCACTAACGAGCCTAGGTGTGTTACCGCGATCACAGTGGAGAAGACAGCACTTCTTGGGAGAAGAACAGCAACTGGATCTAAGCTTTCCTAGAAATGGCAGGGTCAGGAGGAGGTCCCAAAGATGTGGGGCTTTTTGGCGTTGTCATGAGGCTCAGATGTCTGTCTTGGCTGTCCTAGAGCTGTGTAGGAAGAGGGGAGCTTTGTGAACTAGGATGTGGAGTAGGACCTAGTGCTGTGATCAAATCTCGTGAGTTTGGCTGTTTTGGTTTGTTTTTTCCCCCGATGCAGAGCATAGGGTCTCGGCAGGGCAGGTGGAGCCCTGTGATGTAGCTTAAGGCAGGACCRGAGGCCCCAGGCTGAGCTGAAATGGGGCTCCTGTGGTCACCCCCAGCTCCCTGCTACCCCTGCCCGCCTCCTCGTGCAGGAACCTGATTTGTGTATTCTATTCGGTTGTTTTTCCTGATGGGTTTGTTGTTTTAACAGCGTTTGGAGCACAGGGTTCATTGGATTGCAGCCGCAGATGCAGTGCTAGGACCTGGGCTGTTCCTCAGAACACGCTTTTCTGTGCATACAGGGGCATCTCACAGGCAGGACCGGGTTTGATTTGCAGCTCCCAAGGTCTCTAGCAGACTGTTAGAGACTCGGCRGATGGGCCTCATCTCGAGTGGGATCTATGTTCCTCTTTGTTTATGTGGGGCTGGCAGTGAGAAAGGAGACCCAGAGTATGTGACTTGCCAACACCAGCATGTCAACACTAGACCTGGGAGCTGAACCTCGCTCCTCTGCATCTCCATCTGATGCTGTAGCCTTGAGATTCCTGAATTCTCCCTAGTGGATGCTTTGTACTCCCCGAAACGTTAGGGCGACAGTCTGCTTTCACAGTTCGTTGAATAGCATGTCAGGACCTTTTTGTGTTGTGCTCCAGCGTGGAGCTGCCGTAGAATGAAGCCCTGCAGCTGTACGTGTGGCACAGCAAGAACTGACACCAACAAAACACTGTGTGACCGCCAAGCCAGGCTGCAGCGCCTAGGAAACGTTGCAATTAAATGTGTTGGTAGCCTTRGCTTTTTCTGAGCTTTTACTACAGCTCTGCATCTGGCTGATCTCTTGCTTGCCCGATCTGCTCTCCAGTTGTTCTTACATGTCTGTACCCTTTCCCTCAATATCCCTTTTGTGGCTTCCCCTGTTTCGTCTTTCTCTGAGATTGATCTGAGAAGTCAGGAGGGGTTTTTTTCTGCCTTGCATGGATTCCCAGTCCCTTCCGCCAAGGCGGTTAGAGCACATAGTGCTGCTGACCGACTCCTGCCTCCAGGCTCTTTTCGGATCAATCCCGTTTTGCCCTGCTCCACCTGCCCTTCCCTGGCAGGCTCCGTTCCTCTCTGCTTCTGCATGAGTGCATCCCTTTTGCCCTCTGCTTTTCAGTCTGGCAGCTTGCTCTTGCTCAGTGCCATTGAGAACACGGGCTATCTGCCACCAAATCCAGGATCCAGAGATCCCGAAGCTGCAGCGAAAGAGAAAAAAAAAATGCCCAGAAATATTGCTGCTAAGAAAGTGGTGGGTTTTGTTTTGTTTTCTAGTCAGTAAAGCAAGCAGTGTTAGTGTATCATCGTGCCCTTCCCTTCCTCTCTCAGGGTCTTAATTTTAGACATGTTTGTGTAGGTAAGATTGCTTCAAAAGGTAGGAGTAGTGCTTTTCTGAGGGAAAAGGTCACCAAGCCTGTTTTGCTATGGGGAAAAAAACACACACACACACACACACACACAAACAAGTATTTCCTCTACACTGAATTTTTGGAAGCTGCTGAATTCTTTTAGCAAATACTGAGAGAGAAATCTGGGATGGAAGTGTTTGGGTTTTTTTTTTTTTTCCTGAGCTAGCATTGTCAATGTCAGAAGCACCTGAAGGTCTTGCAATGGAACAGTCATGGTGGGCACAGTAGAAGTGTGCGAGTGTGGRGAGCCTGGCCTCTGCTGCAGGCAGTCCAAGCAGGTGCTGGTCGATCTCTGCTTCTAGGGTCACCCCGCACAAGGTACTGCAGTATCTGGGCAGGGCTTGGAGCTACTTCCCTGTCCATCACGTGGCAACTGCAGCGTACCTGGGCCCTGTGCATGGATGCTACCAGCTGATTTGCTCCCCCCATGGCCACATATCGTTGAAGGTGCCTCTGCCCCCTGCTCCAAAGCTTTCTCAGCAGCCCTCAGGGCTGTGCCAGTGTTGGGATTGCTCCTCGCGAGGTGTGTGGAGATGTGGGAGGCAAAGGCACGGGTGGTATAAAGGAGGGGTGAGCGAGTGTCGAGGCCATGGGTTGAGGAGACGGAATGTGTGACAGAAAGGGCAAGCAGGCAGCAGGGTTGAAGATCAGATGGATCAGGTTTGGAAAGGCTGCAGCGGGAGAAGCAGCAGCAAGCCTCATTAGAGGAGGCCTCGTGTCATCAAAGGCGAGCCTTGTGCATTTGATGGGCAGACAAAAGCGCCGGTCCTTCCTGCCTGTCACCGAGTTGGTGAGGCTGTAATACACCCCAGTGTCAATCCTGTGGGGCTGTGACTTTGTGCTAGGCTGGCTCCTGACTTGTGGCATCTGCAGCAAAAAGACTCTGATTTCAAGCAGGCTTCCAGAAACATGGACTGAAGGTTATTTGTGCTTTGCTGCATGAAATAAACATCACTGGTACTTTGTGTTACTTAGAAAGACTGGGGATAGCCTGAGCTCAGGTAAGAGGAGGCAGMCACATGCTCCCATGCCCTTGGTAAGAGACATATTTCCTCCTTGCTTCCTCCAGACCCTGGTAAGCTCGTGCAGCATCCTCATCATCCAAGTGTGGAGCATGCAAAGGTCGGTGACTGGGACCGTGCTGGAAGTACTTGATAGCACAAGCCTCYGAGGTGGGAAGCCCACCCCAGCTAGTCACCTCCCAGCTCCACTGAACAGCAAGTCCTTTCTCTCTGGCACCCCGGAGATGTCACCCACTCCTCTAATACAGTCCTCGGCGGCTGTCATGGATTTTCATGTATTTCCTCTATTATTTCTCCCTGCTTGAACCTTTCAGATAATTGATGATACTTTAGTTAATCATTTTCTCCCTCTTTTGTCCAGCAGATACCTCGGCCTCGAAGGGATCCTTTTCATTTGGAATCCGCGCCTTCCCCCACGTAATCGATCACTGCACCCCCGGGGACACCCCGTTCACAGCGGAGCAGGATCGGGCTTCATGAACAACCAGAACATGGTGGCCAGGCTGCTGCAGGAGTGCCAGCAGGCCCTGGACACGCTCCTGTCGGCCACGTCAGAGCCGCGTGAGGAAGACAAGCGGGAATTCCRGCGGAGCGAAGGTGAGGAGGCCCCGAGGAGAGGCACCAGGAGCCAGGAGCAGGCTGCTCTGCGCCTCGGAGCTGCGGTGACCAAGCCTCAGCCCTGCCCTRTTTTTCTTCCCCGGGCAGATGAGTGTCAAGAGACGACTGGATTTGTAGGCCCTGAATGGGATGTGGGCTGCAGGCYGGCCGGGAGAGAAGCCCACTTTGTTGCAGTGAATTGCTGTCAGTTCTAATTTTAGGCTTCAGTAAACATGAGGCTGTAAGGAGCAGTTTAGTTGGGGAAGAACAATGCCCGAAAGTTTGCTGATGCACATAAATTTCAGTTATTAAAAAAAAAAAAAAAAAAAAAAGAGAGAGAGAGAGAAAGAAAAAGGATGCAACTTGTGAATAAGAGCACATATTTCCTCTCTTTTCATAGGAACCGGGGGGAGGGCGTTTTCTGTTTGTCAGCTTCTCCTGATATATTAAAGAGCTCATTGCCTGAATCTTTATCTTGTAAAATGCGCGTGACCTCTGTAAGTGGTGTCCAGAGGAAAAACTTGCAAAATCCCTCTTGAAAGGGAAATCCATGCCAGCTAATGGCTGGAATAAATATCCAGGAAAGGGTGAAGTGTTTTTTGAAGGCTACAATTAAAAAATTCTTTGCTTGTTTTAATGGGAAAAACAAACCAAACTAAAAAAAAAAAAAACCCACAACTAGTATTTACTTGGTATTAATTTGGATTTTTAAATTTTTCTGTGCCTTGTCATCTCCAGTGGAATTCCAGTTCATGTTAGTGGTGAAAAGGTGTAATACAGTTGGTTCAGTTTTCTCTATAATCAGATTTTCAGAGGGCTATCCGACTGAATTGTCACAGGTTTTTCACTCACAAAATAAAAGGCATGCTTGAATTGCTCAAGTTGCTTGAATTATACTGTTTCTGTACAAGCAGGGGAAGTTATGAGCACTGGAAAAAATTAAAAATACTTCAGCAGCTAGAGGAGATAGAGCAAAGGATAACAGTCAAGTTTTTAAGAAGGGGAAAAAAGAAGGCACTGAGGAAAAAAAAAACCCTGCAAATACTCAGTTGTACTTGCTGGTTTTGCTTAGTAGTAAATCTTTACAATCTGTCCGTTTTTTTCAGTTTAGTGTTAGTACTGTTTGGGTTTGCTCTGCTTGAGCGACTTGGCCATAATGTTAATTTGATTTTTGAAGTCTTTTGTCTCGGAGAGGAGAGCTGTTGAGAGGAGGGCTTTGCGAGCATCCTTGTTCTCGCTGGGAGGTCAGCGGTCCCCGGCTGAGGCGCCCGAGCCTGCTCTTGAGCCTGTTTGTGATAGAGGCTGCCGTATAGGTTTCTGCTATGGATACTGGAAGATTTGTCTCTTCTTTTCTTTGTTTTCAACAAAAGGTACTTTGTTTTCTCATCCCAAATTCTTTCAAGCTTTATTATCGCCCTTTAGAACAGGCTCTTGAACTCCTAATCAGGTAGTGCCTTTCTTTCCCCCGCCACCTTCCTCCTTCCTTTGCTCTTATTAAATACCACAGAGTATGAGAAATAATCAGTTTAGTTCCAGATAAGGTAAATCAGCGCCCTTATAATCACCGAATTAGGCATGGTCCTTCAGGTAAAGCGCTCCAGGAAATGGGAGATCAGAGCATGAGGCGCTGGCCTTCCCGGGGCGCCCTTGCCCGAGCCGGCCCAGAGCCGGGACGGCGGGAGCGGGACCAGTACCGGTACCGACTGTGGTCCGGGGGCACCGGCGGGCCTGGTACCGGTACCGGCTGTGGTCCAGGGGCGCCGGGCGGCTCCGGAGCCCCTGGCAGGTGGCTTGTGCGCGGCGGTAACGAGCGGCTTGGGCTGCAACGGCCCCGTCGGGCCCACACGCGCCTCCCGCAGCAGGGCATTAGTGCAGGGTCACTTCTGGGAGCCGCGCGGGCCGGGGGCACTCGCTTTGCACCAGCGGCCGGGGGCTTTCTGCTCCTCCCCCTGCCCAGGCCCGGGCTTTGTTAGCCTGGCCGCAAGCACGGGAAGGACTGAAAGCCAAATACATATCAATAGGGGGGAGAGGGGAGAGGAGGAGCAAACCCGCATCTCGCTTTATTTTAGGAGACAGAATGGGTATTAGATTGGTCCGGATTTTTTTTTTTTTTTTTTTTTAACAAATCTTTCAAGCTAACCCCTCTGTGGGTTCATCTCCCTTTCAACCCCTATTAATTAGTGGATTTACATTGCTTACACAGATAACATCTATCAGTTATAATCTCTTCTTCAGGGAGCTGGGTTTTGGTCAAAGCCATAATAGCTATCTCACAGCCTATTTTGTGAGGCTCTAGTGGATGTTCTTATATCACAACAGCGTATTGTAATTAACACATTAATCGTGTTTATTTCCATGTGTTGACTACTACACACCACAGCAGAGTCTGAAGCTGCAGCTCACTAGGTTCATATAAAGGTCCCGTCCGATAGACAACGAAAGGCTTCCAGCTCACCACATCCTTCCTAAAAATGTTACTGCAGATCCCTTTATTAAGTACCTCAGCAGTGATAACTGCTAAAGATGACTCTGTAAAATTAAAAGTTCAGTATTGAAGAATTTGGCCATATTCTTTGTTCTTTGGTGCATCACATAAGATGATAGTCTAAGGATAAGATGGGGAATAAAGGAGCAGGGAGACAGCAGTAATACATTTATGAGAGAATATCAGTATTTGCCTCATCCCATGGATTTTGGTTTTCTTGACATTTTTTCCTATTTTAGTTTTATTGAAGTACATGTGAGYTTCTGTTGGGAAAGACAAAAGAAGAAAGGAGAAAATAAGACAGAAAGGTTTTCTATGTAAATATCCCATTTCTGTGTCTCTGGATTGATTTTTTTTTTTCCCCTAAAACATCAGTCCCATTGGGTCATGCAGGGAAACATTATTAGAGGTGCTTGCTTTGGTCACCTTCAGGCATCCCTCATCTTCCACTGTAGAAGCTTGAGGGAAAGTCAGTCTTCAGGTATTAACACCCCCTGACCACCCTATGTAGGGTAAAAGAAACCCTCTTGTTTCGTGTTCCTTGGCATCAGGTGAGCATCCCTGCTCCTGCAGTGATTCTTGTGGGGCTGCCCTACTGCAGGAATTGCTGGGATTGTGAGGCTAGGSGCTCACGTTGCAGCCCCCCGTCCCCTCCAGCTCCTCCGCTCGGCCACCTTTCCACGTGCTTGTCCTCTGTGCGCCAGGGAGGGCTGAGCCGCTCCAGGCACACCTTCCGGAAGCAGGGAAACACGGTTGTCCCTGAAACTGTAGTGATGTTGACAGGGAAGCGGGTCCAGGACGGCAGCAACAAGTGAGAGAAATGGAGTTGGAAAATGTGGTATGGTTTTTAAGGCAATTTTTTGAAAATAAGGCCCTAGGTGTCAGGCTTTCTACTTTTCCCTAGGAAAAAAAACAGTGAATGTGCTGCAGTACAAGCACAATATAGAATTTGTATGTAGTGTAGTTTCTTGTCCATAAAGGATTCATTTACAAATACATAATAATACATTTATTGCATTACCTCGTTAAAACACTGATGGTCTCTGAGTAGGCATTTTCTAGGGATTAATGGCCAGAAGGGGCCAGATCTGCAGCTGATGATCACCATTACCCCCATCTGGTCAATAATCCATGTTAATCCACTTTTATTGCCCAGAGAGCCTGCCTAGCCTAGTGGTTAGCACAGTGCACTGAGGCTGTGGCTTCACTGCTTTTTAAGGAAAATGAAAAGTGAGCTACTGTTTGAAAGGAGGGAACAAATTCAGGCCCTGATCTCCAGCTGTGTGTTCTTACCAGCAATTGCATCCTTAGTAGGATCTGTTTGGAGATCGAACTGAGACTAATCATTTTGTTTTGCAAGGTGGGTTTCCAGCTGGACTTGCTGCTGCTGCAGCCAGGTGATGGTTAGTGCTGGCAGACACCAAGAGCCAGACCCAGGGAGAGAGCAGGATTTGTGGACAGGCAGTGGCCACAGGGCAGCCTAAGGTAAATGCAAAGTTGTGCTTTTGCCTGGTGAGCTTCAGCAACTCCCTGGAGGATTAAACACCGGGCATCCCAAGTGAAGGGCATGGGAGCTGGGAGCACTTTTCACTTAGCAAAATCCACCCCGACTTTTCACTTAGCACAGAGATGTCAAACGGTAGACTGTGCTTTGCTTTCCAGTTGGGAGGTGAGCTGTGCTTTGTGACGTTTGGAAACCCTCTGGTGAAGGCAGGAGGACGGGGGTTGTCCTTGTGGCTCTGTACTGGCTATTTGAGTACCCCGGGATTGGGAGGGCACCGGGGCCAGGGCTGCCCGGCGCCTGGGGCCTCTTTATTATGGCTGTTACAAACTGGGAGCAAAGTGCMGAAACTCAGGCTCAGCCAGTGCCAAGTACTGAGTTACTGTAGCATCAAGGAAGCTGCATCACGCAGAGGTAGAGTGGATGAGGGAATGTCATGCACGGGTGGTGTAGCTTTAGCTGGTGCCTGCCGTGCACCTGTAGAAAACACAGCATCGGTTCCCAGACACAGGGCCTAAGCCTTTTCTTATGGACACAGAGGCAGCCTTTCTGGTACTTCTAAGGTAAGTGCTGTAATCTAGAGTTACTTTTGCAAGAGCATATTCAGGAACTCAGGCCAGTAATTGTTTGACTGATAATTTAGTCAAAAAAAACAAGTTCTCAAGAACACATTGTCATTACTCATTGCATCTCTTTAGGCCTTGGCTRATTGCTGTGTAGCATTCAGGTTTATCTCCCAGTTTGGATGTGGCTTTTAACGCTTGCAAGAGGTCCTCGGTACTGCCCTGGGCAGAAGCAGGGTGGGTCTCAAGGCCGTTGCCTCTGCCTGCTGTGCCGAGAAACCTCTGTCGCGCCGGGGAAGAAGCYTCCTCGCGCCTGCCGAGAGCAGCTCTTCATGCCCAGGCAGCCACGGGGCCCTGCTCCTTCCACCTGAAAACCTCCCTAATGGCTCAGGGCACCAATTTACCTGGAGGGCAGAGCGGAGTAGGGTAATTGATGACAGGCAACCTTTCCTTCCYGCCGCTGGCAAGAGCTGACAGCTCGTGGCAGTGGTGAAAAGGCTCCAGGGAGGAAGGGGGGATGCTTTTTGCAGGGGTGGTGCTGTATCATAACACTTGTGGCTGAGTGCACGCAAGGCCTTCACCTGCACTTTGACCTTCGCAGCTTTGCTTCCCCGCGAGCTGAGGACCCTCCTTGAGGAGGCAAAGGAGATGAAGTGGCCCTTTGTGCCGGAGAAGTGGCAGTACAAACAAGACGTGGGCCCAGAAGACAAAACAAACCTGCAAGATATGATCAGCGCGAGGCTCCCAGAGTTACTGGTATGGACCTCACCCCCCTCCTTCCCTAAAACCCGCACGGCTGAGGCGCTTCCGCGGGCACAAAGCCCGAGCAGGCAACACGGGGATTATTTCAGAGACCTCTCTCTTTGCTGCACACTTGCTGTAGCAGCGATGTGCTTGGTTGGCAGGCCCGGGTGCCCCCATGGCCAAGGAAGGGGCCAAAGGGCCAAAGCGAGAGACGGGGCTTTCATTTGTTACAGTGCTCAGGCAAAGGCAGGTCCAAGGGCTGGTGAGGGGAGAGAGGGAGCCAGGAGGTCCTGATCACTGCAGACTTCTCCACTGAAGCTGTTAGGAATCAAAGTGTGTGATTTGCTCCTCGCAAGACACCTTATCTCTGCCTCCCTTGAGCACGTCCTGCGGGAACAGGAGGAGACCAAGTGCAGCTCCCAGCCACCAGCTAATGCCAAGGGTGCAAAATCAGCTGGAGCTCTGCCTCGCTGCTGGGCTGSTGGTGCCTCAGCCATGTGGCTCCTAGGGCACGGACAACGCCACGTGAGACGGGGCAGCTGGCGCTCAGCAGAAGTGAATGTTTACCTCTTTCTGCAGACCTGATGTTGAAATAAAACTAAAGTGTGAAAGGCTTGCGTAAAGCTTTAGAAATTAACATTTTTGAACAGAATTCTGYATTTTTAAATTTAAGATTGCTATGGGAAGTGAGGATTATTTGTCTTAGTAGGGTTTGCATAATTGAACACCTGCTTTTTAAGAAAACAATTTAATAGGATCCCTTTGGGCACCTAACGTGGCCAAAGGGAGGAAAGCTAAGAATTTACTTATGCAGCTTCTCGTATGGCTAAAGAAGGCTTRTCTGAGTAAGGAGTTGCAGAATCCAAATTGTTCTGGGGGAACCCACCGTGAAAGTGGAGGAGTTTAAGATGAGAAAGCAGGAAGAAGTGCTGGATTGCTTTTTGTTTTTCTAGTTTTCTCAGGTGTCAGACGTGACATAGCAGATAGAGGAGTCCCTTTTCAGTAGTGAATGTGATACCTAGCCTAAAGAGCGTCCCTTGAGCAGGACAGACATAGACTAAAGAGGAAGTGTTTAATTTTTTTTGCACTTACTATAGTGCATGTCCCAAGCTGAAGCAGTCACGTTGCTCGTGGGAAGGGGCAATCTGGCCCTGAAAGCAGGGGGCCAGGGCAGGAGCTGACCCCACAGAAATCAGGCTGCAAAACCACCGTTAACTACATGGAGGGGGCATGAGATTTTGCTTGTTTCAGTGAGAACCCTGCCAAAATAAGTTGTTTGTTTGAGGACAGAGCAGCAATGAGAAGTCCCACAGAAAAGTGGATGACGAGGYTGTGATTTCCACGAAGCAGATACTCCATTGCCTGCATCCCCTCGCCAGCATCATACGTTGCTGGAATTCTCAATGCAGTGGTTGGGGGCGAGGGGGGACGGGACGGGACTCTTCTTGGGTATTTATTTTCTTCTTCTCTTTGGTGTGTGTGGCCTTAGACAGAAATTTATGGTGGTGGTTGACCTCCTTTACAATGCCCACACAGCACACTAACTTTGGAGCATTTGTCTGCTCTCTCCCAGGATAAGCACCTGCAGTAAACTCCCCGAGAGACCTGGATAGATGGGAGATTAATGTGGCTGTAATAGTGGAGCAGTGTTTCCAGCATTATGCCCTCTCCCCAGGTAGATGGATCTTTTCTGAGATGATACCAATTATTTATTGCTGAAACATCTGTTGATAACTGCAGCTGCCCTTGTTAAACAAAGCATATCATGGGGTCGTAGACTATAGCGACCTAAAATCCTACCGCATGCTAGTTTTAGACTATTCACCAACACCCCCTGAAGTCCATTGGTTACCGTTGTCTTCAATGTTTCATCATGCRGGCGAAAATACTTTGTAAACATTGTGCTGCCTTTCCCCGTGTGCTTTGAAGTATTATTTCATCTTCATTGGTAATTTATACTCCAGCGCTATTGTACCATGGGAAAAAAAGGAAAACCTTTTTTTTTGTTTTCCATTTAAGGGTAGATAGACTGACATTTTGACCTGTATTATTAGTATTAGTCAGGAAAAGGGATTTTTTTCCCCTTCATCCATTCCCCTCCCTTTTTTTTTTAATAAAATTTCAAGGCAGAGCAAAGACTGCTTCAGTGCTTTGAATAAAAAGCTGGGMGGGAGAAATGAGTCTGAAGAGAAGTGATTACAGTGTGATGAGGAAAGATAAAAGTCTGAACAACTTTTTTCTTCTTTTTTGTTTTGGTTTGAGGGGCAGAGGGATAATTTAATTCCTGAAAGCAAAAATAAGTCTTTGTTGACTTATTGTTCAGAAAAACCTTTAAAATTTTTCTTCTGTTTATTTTAATTTGCCATGCTTAGAATAAGCTCATAAACCGTAATTCATTACATTTTAAAAGTGCTTTGAGATCCATGAATGAAAGGCACTTCATTACCATAACACACTGGCGCTGTTATGAGGGGCCAGATCTGGCTACCAGTGCTCGTGATGAGGATGTTTTACTCGGTGAGTAGCCTGAAAAGCTCCAGGAGACCAGCGCAGGGAGTAAGCGGATTAGGCTTTGGCTTCAAGGGTTTGCCTTAGTGTCGCACTTTAAAAAGTGGGATGCCCGTTGCTGGCGGCTGCACGCTAGTTGGACACATCAGGAAGGCAAAGCCACCTGCACCTGCATCCTTTTAAAGGGCTCCTCCTTGCCATGGGATCATTACTTCTGCATGCTGACTACAGTGCTAGGAAGGCATGGTGAAAACACTGAGAAGAGGCAAAGGAGCAAAGGGAAGGGACCGTGAAACCAGAGTTTCTTTGATCCTCATTGCAGCCTGAGTCCAGTGAGTCACACTACCTCATGGAGAAGAGCTCAGAGCAGAGGGTGGCAATATGAGCACAGTTTTGTCTCCGTTTTCTCTCTGGTACAAGAAATTACCACACCTCTTAGGGACTGGAAAACAGCAGATTTGTAGTAATACTTGGTGCAAACAAGTACTTATCGTTTTCTGAGATCTTTGCATCTTGTACAATTTTTTTTTTTTTTTTTTTGCCTGCTACTCAATTGGGCAGCTCCTTCCCCGTCACGTCTTCCATTTGGTGGAGATTTGCGCAGAGATCCAAAGGATGATAACCAGTATTTGCTAACAAAGCAAAAACTTGGAAACACTAGGATTTGATTTGTTGACTTGTTTTATTAACAAGTCAAAGCAAAACCAGCATTGTCACASGACCATGCTGAGAAATATCAGTGCAGAGGGATTACTTTTTCTCTCTTAAAACCCACATGTTCCTCAGAATTACGACTTCTAATGAAGCCTCCCAAACAGAGGCTTCCAGTGGTTCCCCTTCCTGAAGATCTCTGGAATGGGATGTGGTACAAGYGGCTTTCTGCTGTATAACCAGCCAACAGAGGGCAACCTGCCCATGTCCACATGGGCTGTGGTCTGGCAAACCCTCTCGTGAGCCCTCTCTGACAGCCTCCTGTGTGTTAGCTTCTCACGTGGGATTACTCATTCAAGGTTCTGGGGTTTTTTGCAAGATCGGGACCCATGCTGAAACCCACCCTAACGCTGTAGGACTTCACTTAGCTCTTCSCATAGGTATCGATAGCTGCTGTGGCTGGTGCGGGCGTTCAGCCACAGACCAGGCCGTGCTGGGGCAGGAACGGTGCCAGCGCAAAAGCCAGGTGAGACCTTGGACGTTCTCATCAAATAAGGCCTTGCCCATGCAAAGACACTGAGGGAAACAGTTAGCATGGTTAAGTGGGCTAGTTAAAGGACCTTAAATGTGCGGGCGAGGGCGGCCTGTGCGCTGAGGCAGTCTGTGGGGGTCTGCGGCCGGGCAGGCGCCCTCACAACGCGCCCGCCATGTCATGTCATGGTGCCCGCCATGTCGTGGCGCCCACCTCATGGCGCCCGCCTCAYGGCCGAGCTGGGCAGGCGCTTCTGGCCGTGTCTGTGCAGGGTCTCATTGAAGTTACTGGGGACGCTGGAGAGAATAGAAGACGCAGGGCTGCGGGGGYGTTAGCTAATTGCGTGCTGATGGATTATCATTAGGGAAACGCTGCTGAGGGAAGTGCCCCAACTAGCCTGAGGTGTGTGCGGCACTTGAGAGCTGGGAGCCTTTGAAAAGGAAATAAAGAAGGGGCTGAGGATTTAATTTTCTCTGCCTTGTACCTGTTGGTGTGGTAACAGGACAATTGAGGTCCTGTATCTTAGCCCTGGGGTCTCGGTTGTTTGGGATGACCTTTTGCTACCTGCTCCATGAGAGCTCTCCTTGGGTGATCCCGGTGAAATGGAGAGTGGCGTAACGGAGAGCTGCGGGCCGGATTCGGCACAGGGGGAATTCACAGCCTCCCCTGTGCTGGGCTGATCCTTGACAGGTCAGGGCTTTTCCATGACAAATAGCAGAGATGAGGTCCTACGTGTGCGGGAGAAGAGCAGGGACCCGCTCGGTGAGTCGCGGCAGGTGGTGGCACTGCGCCCATGGGAAGCCTCACGTTATTCGTCCCCCTACGTTGGAGGGCAGCTCCACGGCTTGGCCCAGGGGGACTGCTTTGATGTCGCCAGCCTGCAGCGCTGAAAAGCGCTCGGCCATCCTCGGTGGCTCACCTGTGTGGAGAATGTACGGCAGAATTTGTATATGCAGCAGCAAGCGAAAAATGTGACGTCCAATACTAGATACCGAGAGGGATGTTCATCTTGTTTATAGCTAGGATTTCCTTTACTCAGATGCTGCTTGTTGCATCAGACAGAATTACCACTGGCATGTAGCTATTTTTAAGTATTAAAATACTCACTTTAACATAGTATTTTAACAACCAACTGACAAGACTTTGGCAAGTCTTAGGGCCAAAAATTGCTTATTGTACCTATCCTGGGTAACAAACAAAAGTGAGGGACTCTTGGAGATGACAGTCCCCCAAATCCCTGCTGCCTTGGCAGAAATGCCCGCTAAAGGAGTTTTCTTAGCGCTTTAAATTACTCTGTTTCTGTCCTTCCCCAAAATGCTGCTGTTCAGTGAGCTGAGGTGCCCGCCACTTTGCTCCCTGCTGGCACCGCTCAGGCTCATCACGCACATGGTTTTCACTTGCACCCGTGGGTAGCTGTGCTCGCATTACTGCTTCTGCCTGCAAGCAGCATTGAGATCTGCATGAAAAGAGCAGTATGGTCAGGAATGGTACTTTCCTTCTCATGCAGGGCTACGGGAGACTCTTGCCATCCTGGCAAGGTTTGGGGCGTGCCACGGGCTCTGCAGACGCTCCACTCCTTGCCGAGAGGAAAGGGAGAATCCTTGAACGGGAGAGTGCAAGCTTAGAACAGCAAATGGGACATACTGATAGTGATAAAACTAAGGCACTCGCAAGTTAAAATGGAAGAAAAAAGGGAAAGGTTATCAATAAAAGCAGGGATTGCTAGTACTGTATTGCTTTCTCACTTGGTAAAGGAAATTTGTTTGGTTGCAAAAACTGGCGTTTTCTATGGTATTTTGAATGGCTAATAATGGACTGAATGYTGCTTTCATTGAATAACCCCCCCAGCTTTCCATTGCTTTGAGAATGAATAATTTGAGCTAATGAACAGTTTCAGAAGCTCAAGCCATCAAATTGTGTTCTCCTCTGATCCGAGCAGAGGTGAGTGTCCGGAATCCTCTTATTCCTGAGGCCACGACTGTTTGCTGGGGGACTTGACGGCCCTGCATTTCAAGCCTATCCATCTGTGCGTTGCGGACACGCTTTCTTTTCCCCATCACAGAGATGGTAGGAGGCTTAATTCATTGTTATTTGTAGAGTGCGCACTGATTGCCAGCTGAAAGGCAGAGATTGATAGAGAAGTCCCGTGCAGTGACAGCAGATTTGGTCTCTTGGAAATGCAGGCTTTGCTAACAGTGCGTGGGGTAAAAGGGTGAGACTCCAGCTAAATCCGTTGGTGTTTTGACTGTGCATTTAATCCGACAGGGGACGAATGTAGGAAAAAAAGTGAGCAATTTGTTCGGGTTCATGTATTTCAGTGATGTGCTAACTAGGGAGAGATCCTGAGAGAGAGAGAACTAAGGCACCTGGAAATATATGCCATTGAAACTCCCGCCCAGCGCACAGAATTAGAATTTCTTTGTTGACTGACTGCTTTTGTGGTTGTGTTTTGGGTTTTTTTTTAATATTTTTAAACTTCAGTTGCAAGTAAATTTAAGACAAATATGGCCTAAGTTTGAGCTATGGTATTTGCTCATTTTCACCTGCCTGCCAAGCTGTGGTCACACTCTGCAAACTRAATGATTTCTGCCCCCTGCTTTCTAACCTTACCGCTTGCAGAGGCGTCTTTCCAAGGGAGACCCTCCCCAGTCTGCCCGCTGTGTGTGAGGTTTGCCTATGGGATCTGCGCTTTATAAAGAAGGCAGAGAGAGTGGATTAAATCAATATTTCATTTATTTGTGCTTGTAATTCCTCTTACATCAGCTGCCACATAAAGATTTCCCCTATTTTCTTCCCCTCCTCCTCAGCCTCATTTACTATGCACCAATAATTTCCCTTTGACGCTTTCCTGCCAGTTCTAGTGCCAGATGGCTCCGGTTCGAGCTGCTGCCCTCTCTGGGGAGCGGCCCCCATTGTCAATGCAAAGGAGGCATCRTGGCTTTGAACCCAAAGCTGAGACCCAAACTTCAGGCGCGGTGTGAGGAGGAGCTAAAGCACTAATGCAGGGAACCATGCAAACAGCACACCCTCCCACTCATGGCCATTAAGGACAAACCCTTCACTCAAGGCTGCTTTGCATTTTCCCCAATGGTCCGTGTGTAGAAATCTCGTGCAAATTTAATTCTGTCACCACCTGATTCCGCTTCCCAGCCGCGAGGTTCCCTTTGTGCCGTAAACTCAATTAGACATATGCATTCCACACCGTGGACACAGATGTTAAAACCAAGTGTGCACGTAGCTCTCGCTCCGCGTAGATGTGTGCACATCAGCTTTAAAATGATAAAGAAAGTGAGTAAATCTGGTTACTGTGYGAGCCCGCTGCGTGGAACAAAGTGCCCCTATGTGGCGAGCGGGGCTGGGTCTCTGACTGTGCTCAGYGAGGCTGCTGCCTCTTGGAAGTGCTTGGAGCTTCCCTGGGTCTGCGCCGGGTGACGGAGAGCCGTGCTGGATCCTCGCGCGCTGCACTGGGACGTGGCGAGGGGAGGCTCTCTGCGCGTGTTTCGTGTGCGTGCCCAGCGCGACACGGCATTGTCTGGCGGTGCGCAGGAATTCTGCAGTCACACAGTTTGGCAGCGAATGAAAGAAGCGGGTATTAATTTCTCGGTGTGCTGCTCGCAACACGGGACGTAATTGCGGGGAGTGACACCGAGCCGTGTTTCTGTGTGCCACACAGCATGCGGCCCTGCCTTTTTTGTAAAAAAAAATAGCAGAGTTTCTCTCCCTGGCTTGACTTTTCTACATTTTGTGTCCATTTGGTTTTGGAGAGGGACACAAGAGGTTTCAGCATTGAGCAGAGAGTTAAATTATGCAGCTGCAAGGCTGCCAAGCCCTTCAGAATAGGATGCTTCGTTTAGATTTTCCACAATGCTATTGAAGTGCTTATTTTCCTCCTGAAGAGACACAAACAGATGCAAACTTCTGTAAACACTTTAGAAATGAATTCAGTGAGTTTGGCCTCTCAGCAGTGCTCAATAGCTGACAGAAAAATGTCTAATTAGTGCAAGTGGAAATAATAGGGCCACTTGGATTCCTTCCATCCTCCTCCAAGTCTACTTTTCCTAGGGACTCAAAGGCCCTTTTGTTTGGTAGGTCACCCTCTCTCAGGCTTTTGTGCTCCAATCTATTAAAGGAAGAAGGGGAGGAAAAAAAATAGATTAGGCGATGCTCTGTGCTTAAATATATGGCCTGTTCATGAGCATTTGGAATGGATAGTTTGCAGTGTCAGTTTACAGGTGCTTGGAGAGGGGGATTCCTCCATTGTCAGTGGGCACAAGCAGCGCTGCTGCGCACGGGGCTCCAGGCATCCTTTTCAAGTGCCATCCTCTCAGAAAACTCAACTTGGGCTTGGGGAAAAAAAAAAAAAAGAAAAGGAAATTTGTACAAATCGGCCTCGCTGAAGGGCAAACAAGCCAGCAAATACTCGCTGCAGATCAGTGACGCAGTCCTGTGTGCGTGCATGTATTGCAGGCTCTTCTAACCTTCCGAAACAGGCTTTCTCCTGCGCCTCCAAGGGCTCCGTGCTTTTGAAGCCAGTAAATGTTGTTTGATCAGGCTGTGATGATTCCTACTGTAGGCTGCACAGTGGTTTGTCTGCTGAAAAACAAGCTGAACCTGGCTGTCACTGAGGGCGCTGTGGTCTGGAAGCAAATTAGGGTTTTCTCACCAATATTGGGTTTTTGATGGTGCAGAGGGGCTGATTCTCCCTCCTTTCTTGAAGTCTCTTGTCGCTGGAGTTACTCACTGACATCAAGAAGATARAGACACGTATTTTTTTTTTTCATGAAAAGACTTGATAGGGTTCAAGGTGGGGTTTTTTTGTTCATTTGGTTGTTTTTTCCTCTTGTGATTTGCGTACTCCAAAACAGTGCATTACTATTGCTGTCTCCCGGTGGAGCTGGGAGGCAGAAGGGCAGGAGCTGCGCGGACCCTGTGAGGCTGTGGAAGGCCGTGGCATCGTCACGGTGCCCAGCACCGGAGCCTCCCTCGCGGAGCTCGGCTGTCCCTGCAGCCCTCTGCGGTGTTTCCAGGGCYGAGAGCCTCTCCTCCACACCCAGGCTTTCTTCAGGCCTTGCAGCGAGCGTGTAAGAGAGGACCTGTTTAAGAGGCAGCAGTTCAAGGGYGTCATTTCACGTTCTTGTTCAGCCTGTCTTCTGCGTCACAGGGAGATTTTGACGTGGCATGCAAACGGGAAGGCTCCAGTCACTGCTGCGGGTTGCTCATCGCGCCCCGTGAGAGCGGCTGCATCACAGAGGTGTTTCGCTTCCATCCTAACAGGCATCCCTAGGGATTCGCGGATGTGCGCGGGGCCGTGTGCCGGCCCCCCTGCCCTCGGCACACGCTGCCGCGYGCCTCTGCCTGACGCCTCGGCTCGCTCCCGAGGCTCCGCCGCGGAGCCGGGACCGAGGGGGCTAGTGCACATCTGCAGATCCTCAAATACGACCTGCACAGGGAAAACATTGGACTCCTGCCCTGTTTGCTCCTTTGTGGCGTACAAAGGAGCGTTTGRTCCTGCAGCCTTAATGCTGCATTAACGCTGGTTGTTGGCATTTAGGGCCTGGTCCCACAGGGAGCAACAGGACCCTGGGAGTCCCTCATTTGCCAGGGTGATTCTGAGGAAAAGCAGAAAAGGAAGGCTGGAACTCCAATGTCCTATTCCCGCTGAGGTTAGTGGGAGCCCCCGCTCATCAGCAGCAGCGATAAATCACTGGTAAATCAATGTAGACATCTGCATATTCAGGCATATTCAGAGAAGACTCATTTTGAGAAATGGTTTGAAAATACATTTTCTGGTTGTGCCTTATGCCATACGGAAGGAGTGGTCATTCCCCATTTCTCTAGGGATAGCTTAACCTAGSAGAATGGCTCTCGTGACCATTTCCAGTCTTTCCAGTTTCTTATTCCCTTTGAACTAGTTGTTGTTAATGCTACTAATTGGTTGGGCGTCATTTAAATTTGTTAACAGAGCAGCAAATTATATGGTTCCAGATACCACACAAAATGCGTAGACACCAGCCAAACAGGAGTGAAGCCTAAAGTGCTAGCAAAACAGCTGCACCCCTCCTGTCTTGAAACTAAAAATGGGACTGAATTAGTCATAATCAGAGATAATAGCAAGTCCTGTATGAGGTATTTTTAAGGTATTTCTTCAACCCGCGTGTTTTCCGTAAGCAGCCAGCGGATCCTTTCCCCGCTGGGTTTGCCAGAGGTCCGACCCGCGTCTCGGCGCTCTGTGCAGGCTCACTTGAAGGCCTCCATCGCGGCGCGGGACTGCGTGACGGCGGCGGCCCTCGTGTTCCTGCTCGACCGCTTCCTCTACTGGCTGGACGCGTCGCGGGAGCTGCTGCGGCTCGCGCGGCGGCTCCACCGGCTGCGGCCCGCCACGCCGCTCGGCCCGCAGCTCCTCATCCGCCAGGCCCGCCTCGCCGCCAGCGCAGGTAGCGCCGCTCCGCGCGCTCCCGGCCCTCCCGGGCCCCCCAGCTAGGAGCTGCTAGACTGTGGGGACGATGCGTTGTCCCTTTGCAGGGGTGACACACACACACACACACACACACACACACACACACACGTGTGCGCAGCCCTGGTGCCGTGGCGTCGAGCGCTGCCGGCCCCCCGAGCCCTCCCGGCTCCTCTCGCCGGCACAAAGGCACCGGGATAAAGGGTGTCGGAGCCCAAAGCGGCAGAGGGAATTGTGAAAGGGGGTGGAAAATACTAATTGGGGCCTTTGTTCCTTAACAAATCTTCCCTGCTGRTTTCAAACAGGGGTATATGAATTGCTATACTTCTGCCCAACGGTGTTTAAAAAGTAAATTAGAATCCTGGCATTTTCTCTGCACTGTCCCAGCTGCTTTTTGTTTTTTTTTTCTTTTCCCTTCAGAAGTCCCACTTGGCTATGCAAACAATGCACCTTGCAAATTGATAAAATTTGATTTAGCGAAGAATATCATGCCCATCGTTCCTATAACATGGACAGCACCTGGAAGAATTTCTGTCGGTCTTTSTCTTGTGCCTTTGAACAAAGTCAAACAGATTTTGTTTGAAAAACACAGATTAGGGGTATTTTATTTGCATAAATTGTGAGAACTATTAGTTCCCTTTGYAGCCATTTTTATTTGTGACTCTGGATTTGCAGTGCACCCATTACCATGGTATTAAGGTACTGGCACATCCAATTTATGGGCTGGTTTGGCCAGCATTTACAGTTCTCTGCTATTGGATCAGTCTTGTTGAATTCAGTTGGACAATCATGACAAAAAGCAGGGTTCAACACGAATAAAACTGATCAAATTAGTCGTTAGGCATTTCCTGCAGCCCCTCAAGCCTGCCATGGGTGATTCAGGCCATGAAGCATGCAATGAAAACACATCACACACTTGGAGCCTATGGCAAGCAGCTGAAATGCAGAAGCCCATCTTTTGTTGCATCCAGTTATGTTGACTTTTTTGATTATAAATTCTGTGCTTCTTGCATTCCTTTACTGAGGCCTCGTGGTAGAATACGAACAGCATGCACAGAAATTCAGCAGAGATATCAGGGCCCGACTAGAGGAAGCTTTTCTCCCATTTAAAGGCTAAGTGCTCTTCCAGGAATATACAGCGTTAAGTAAAATATATATTTATATGTGTGTGTGTGTGTGTGTGTGTATACACACATGTAGTTATATCTTACTGTGCTACCACGTTATTACAGAATATAGCATATAAGCAGATAGAAGTATGCACAGAAACAAATGTGTGTGCAAGTGATCTCAGCGTGCAGAAGGTATAAAAACAGGCTTCCTCATGGGATTTTCTAAAGTAAGTGTCTAGCTAGAAACAGCTACCTCCTCAGCTTTTTTTATATGATATTTTTGTGTATTCAAAACCGCAGATATAAAATAGAATTCTGACCATGAGTTAAAATCTAACAGTGCGTGTTGGAATGGAAAGTTTAGAATAAACTTTCTGTGTGACACAATGAGAGTGATGGGAAGACAAATAGAATTTACAGGAGGATTTCACAGATCAGTGTGTTTCTTCAAATCATGTTGCATGATGCATTTTTACATTATTAATTTTCTATTTTTTTCTATGAGGCAAACTTCTAAAAGCTGAGTATATCTTAAGCAGCCTTATTAATGACAATGGAGCAACAGGTATGTATTTCATCTTTGCYAATTTCATAACTGTTATTGTGATGGGGTTTTTTATACTAACAATAATAATCACACGAGTTTCAAATAAGGCCAGGCAGACCTCAGTAATGACTCATTATATTCTACCTCTCTCTGTCATCACCTTTCTTAGCTAAATTGTGGAAACTTAAACTTTCTGTTTTAAGACTTCCATAATTAATGTATCTTCTCTTGTTTATCTTGTATTGATGATCACCCTATGAGTTTCTGATATTTGAAAAGAAAGCATGCTTTATCAATGATTAAAATTATGTATTGTGCTCTCCTGTATATAGTAATGATAACAAAGATATTTCCATATTCATTCTTTTAATTGATTTTAATATGTCTCTGTATAATATTTGTATAAAATGACTTTTTGTGATCTCACAGAAAAGCAACACTGTTTTTGTGTTGCTCTGTGTATCTGTCATTCAAGCTGTGTGCTTCTGTATCTGTCTTGTTGTCTTCCTTCTGTCCCTTTTGTCATCTGTCTGCCTCTAAGGCCTTGTCTCACCCGGTTGAATTCAATGAAAAAAATCCCAGTACTTTACTGGGGTTTAGGTAACCCTTAGAGGCTTAAGGTGACAACACCACCGTTTGTACTCTACTAAACTTTTCAGTGCTTTGCAGGTACATGGCGATATGCTAAGGAAAGTGATAGGACTCTTGTTCAGTCAGTCTGCTTACAAATCAGAGGACAGATTCTGCAAAAGCTGGGTAAGATTCTTTTTCACAAGCATCTGTTCAAAGGTTTTGCTGTTTTTCTTTCTTCGCAGTCAACACTCTAAATGATATGCATGTCATATGCCAACGTTTTAGCTTATGCAAAACTTCTGCCTGGTGTCCATAACACAGATATGGAGTATGAGCTGTACACATCTGCTTGAAGATCTCCAGCCATTTACCTAGAACCCATATTTTAGAAATCACTTTTTTTCTTCTTTTTTAACCAGTCAGACGAGAAGTCAAGGAATATTTTCAAATGTTATTCCATATTTTCCTATGCTATTCCATATTTGCTAATCTTTTTTTTTTTTTTTTCAAAAATTTCTATTCCCAAAGGCAAGTAGTAGCTTCTAATAAGTACACTGCAGTGGTTTCCTCTGCATATACAAGAAACTCCCTAGCTTTTGAGTATGATGAACTTATGTTTTTGTGGTTTAGTGCTTGAGATCTAAAACCTTAATTTTATGGTGTTTTGGTGTGACCCTTCTTCTCAGTGACTGTTGAGCTGAGGTCTTTTATGAACACAATATGTGTTTATGGACACCAAAAGCTGAAGTAAGCAAGTAAATGTTCGCTCTTACTAAAGCAAAAAGTGCCGTGTTATGGTTTTATGCTCTTCCGGGGACTGCCTTGCCCACTGAAAGCCATCTGTAGCAGTTAGCTGCTTTAGTGACTATTTTTCTGCTTTGTTTCAGGGATGTGGTATGAGGCAGCACAGTTGATCTGGGCATCAATTGTGGGATATTTCAAACTTCCTCAACCAGATAAAAAGGTAGGATGCCTTTTCATTATGGATATCCTTGACCATCAAAAAATCCCTTTGCTTCAGTCAYATATTTTAGAAATAATGTTTCAACTGTTATGTGCTACAGACCAGGTTAACATTCAGGAAAAATATTCCAGCTGCTGTCTTTATCATACACGGTGAATGTATATATATGTGTGTGTGTGTGTCTGTGTGTATGTGTGTGTATATACACTATGAATACACAGGAAGTTCTTGACATTTGTTAAACTCTGATTGTTTGTTTTGAAATAGGAAAAAGTTTCATCCCCGAAATGACTTGTTTTCATAGGCTACACATAATCATCATTATTACTTCTATCATCTTCCTATACATCTTCACTTTGGACTTGTTAGGAAGATTGGGATGTAGTAGTGAGTTTTTAAACACTGTTTCTGATTTGCTATAGTCTTTTCCACAAAAGAGTGGAATCAGATTTGAGACTCTCTTCCGATGAGATTAGCCAGGATTTATTGCAAGTTTTGGTAATCTCACAAGACTATCATCACAAAAAGCACCAGGGAAAAATTGCTAAGGGAAATCCAGTGCTATTCAAGTTTGTGTTCCAACCTAGATATATTTTTAGTCTGGATAACTGACCTTCATGAAGCCTCACATGTGTCATCACCCTGCATTTCCCACAACCTAAATAAATAAAAGCATGAGATGGAAGAAGACCTCTCTTCTCATTTGGCTTCATATTAATTAAATTAAGAGCTTTTTTATGATGTGTYATAAATAGCATCTAACATATTATGAGCACCAAAAATCAAAATGCGAGGAAAAGCTCTACCTTATTCTTCCGTTTCTTTTTCAGGGAATTGCTACTTCCTTGGGTATTTTGGCAGACATCTTTGCTTCCATGAATGAGAAAGATTATGTCCGTTTTAAAACCGATGCTGAGATTGACCTGGTAAGATTTGATATTTGTCTGCAGGTTCTTCAGCTGAATTTTCTGTAGTGGTTCCAAATCTATGCACAGTTAGTTTGTTCTCCAGCTCTTCTCCTTTGCTGAGAGGCTGAAGAGAGCTCCACTGCTCCCCTGGGAAAAGCTCATTAGCAACTACGTAGGAAAAGCAGTTTGTTTTAGAAAAGACATATTAAAAATACTTACTTTTTGTGTGTGTACGCTTGCATTCATATAAAATGTAATATAAATATATGCATTAGTTAATAGAAAAACTATAGCATCTTTATTGACCAGCAGTGTGGCACGTGTATAGTGCAGCTGAGTAAAAAGATACCTGCAGAACAGAAAATCGCAACAGACCTGGCTGTTGTTTTGTAAGATTGGAGGTCTCAAAAGATTTGAAGGTGTCAGAGAGCTTAGCAAACCTACAGATCCCTCTGGCCTCATGTAGAGTCTTCCCTTGGGAAAAAAAGCCTCGGAGCTGAGCTTTGCCCTCTCTGTTTTTTGTTTCTTTTTCCATCTTACCAGCGCCTCCTTGGAGAGTTCAGCCATCGTTTATTATCAGCTGCAGAGGCCTGCAAGCTGGCAGCAGCCTACAGCCAGTACACCCCGCTCTTCGTGCTCACAGCAGTGGTAAGTGTGATGCCTCCCCGTTCTCAGAGACCAGTCCTTTGTGGAAGAGAAGAGTCCAGGTTAATAAATTCAGATCTAGATCCAGCTTTCAAACACTGCATTGGTCAGGATGTTCYTATCTGTGTTACGTGTGATGCTACACATTATACAGAACTCCAGTCTGAAGCTAAACAGAGAAAGATGGGCATTTAAAAGGAAAACAAGTAAGATGATTTCCTGYTGGAAATACAGCAGCAGGCAGCCCAAAGCCAATATTTGCCTCAGTTTGTCTTTATGAAGGAAGGAAATAGATTTTCTTCTCCTTTTGTTTATTTGCAACAGAGAATCGGACTTAWTGACCTTAAGTCTTTCCTCCCTGCAGAACATCCGTGGGACGTGTTTGCTGTCCTACAGCCACTCCAGGGACTGTCCCTCGGCAAGGAGAACGTTCTACTTGTGTGAAGCAAAGGAGGCCTTCGAGATCGGCCTCCTCACCAAGGATGAGAGCAGCCCTGTCACCAGCAAGCAGGAGCTCCATAGCTTCATTAAGGCTGCTTTCTGCCTCACAAGGGTGCATCGGTGGCTCTATGGGGAGAGCGGGAAGCTCCGTGACATGGGTCAGCTCTGTAAGGAAGCCATGGGGAAGCTGGACGCGTACAGCGCTTCAGCCGCAGAGGATGGAGACAGGGGAGCACTYGCCAGAGGGATCATGGCTCTGGTCGCATCTGTCAAGAAGGGCTTGCAGGTCCGAAACTTCCCTAATTCTGACGCCAGGTCCTACGTTCCGGACAGTTACAAAGGCGCCGTGGAAAACCTTACCCTTCGAGGGGAAGCAAACTTTGAGAAGATCCTTGCACTGCATTCGCAGTATCACCTGTCGGTGTGTGAAGTGTTTGAAAAGACTTGCAGGATTCATGAGACCGCGCCAGGAGAAGCCAGAATGGGAGCCTGCATCACAACCTTCAAAACAGAAACAAAAGGCATCGACACCATGTGTACCACTGAGGAAACGGTGGGGAAGGGCAAGGACACTGCCAAGAGACGTCCTGCATCAGAAACCACAGGTAGCCCGGAGCGACTCCGTGGCCAAACAAGGAACAAACACACTGGCTCCGATGTGAGAACCAACTCCTTTGAGGAGATGGAGCCTTTAGAAGGAGAGATCAGTGAGGAAAAGGGCGTTTGCAGCAGCTGGGGAAAGGGGAGCCGGACACCGACGTCGACGTGGGAGAACTCTTGGTGCAAGGTGTCCAGGTCGAGCTGCTCCTCGAGCTGGGAGGAGCTGCGCTGCAGCGCCGAGGCCCTGCACCCTGCTGCGCCGGGCGGCCCCCGCGCGTCGCCCCTCCAGCAGCACCGGCACCAGCACCGGCACCAGCACCAGCGCCGCGCGCGGAGCCCTGCGCCGAGCGCTGCCGCCTGCGGGGAGCAGCGGGGCCCGAGAGGCTGCAGCGGCCCGGCCAGCAGGGAGGGACCCTCCTGCTCCTGCTCCTGCTCCCGCTCCTGCTCCCGCTCCTGCTCCCGCTCCCGCTCCTGCTCCCGCTCCTGCTCCTGCTGCTCCTGCTGCTCCTGCTGCCGGGAGCGGCCGGGCCGGGCCGGGCCCGCCTGCAGCACCGCGGACAGCGGCGAGCGGGGCGGCCCCCGCGCAGGGCCCGCGGGCAGCGCGGACACCGGAGCCGGTACCGGAGCCGCTGCTGGTGTCGGTGCCGGAGCCGGTACCGGAGCCGCTGCTGGTGTCGGTGCCGGAGCCGGTGCCGGAGCTGGTGTCGGTACCGGAGCCGGTGCCGGAGCCGGTGCTGCGGCGGGAAGCAGGTGGCTCCGCGTGCCCCAAGTGGACCCCGAGGCAGAAACAGAAAGCGCCTCTGACCTTGATGTCCCCAGCGCTGGTAACTTCACGTGCTGTTCTCCMGCAAAAAGCCCTCCGGAGCATCGGCCCGCTGCCAGCGCGCCGGCAGCCCCGGCCTCGGCAGGAAGGGTGTCCATATCGGAGCACTTCAGCTGTGCTACCACCGAGGAAGAGGAGGAAAAGCCTCAGAATAGGGGGCATGGGGTGCACRGGTCTGCCTCGCACCTGGGCCCGGGGCGCAGCCCGGCCGAGCTGTCCAGGAGCAGCCCCGGGAGCGCGTCTCCGTGTCCGTGTCCATGTCCGAGCCCGCTCGGGGGCAGGGAAGCCGGGGGCGAAGCTGTGGGCGCACRGCTGCTGCGGGACGACGATTACTGCAGGCTGCTCGCCGGGGCCGAGCACGGCTGGCTGGTCCAGAGACTGCTGCACACGGGGAGCTTTAAGGCTAAACAGCTTCAGAAAGCACACTGTAAGTTTGCACAACGACAGGCACTATGGTCTCGACCCAGGCTTTTTAGTGTAAATCACTATCTGTTAGGAGTCTTTTTTTTATTTATTTATTGTTTTTGTGCAAATATTTTAGCAATAGTGGAAGCACATTCCCTCCAACCTTTTTCTGCTACTCCTTAGCCTTTTACATCCCAGCCACAGGTTCCCCAGAGCCATCTCCCTGGGGCCTTGGGCATCTGCAGCATCCCTGCACACAGTGGGTACCTCCTTGGGACCACATCCTTCCTGAATGTTTCAGCCCTTCTAGTTGTTKGGATTTTGGAGTGATTTTTTTCCCCCCTTGATTGTACAACATCCAATTCTGCACCTCAGTATCTCTTAGTATATATTTTATAGCCCACTAAGCCTTCAGAGGAGCCCGGATAMCTTAGCTCCTCAGCACTCATGTTTGGTCCCTCAGCGCAGGTACAGAACAGCCCTGTGAAAGACTTTGTGCATTTTACCTGTGTGTTTTTTGTTTTCTTTTKTTTTCTTGTTGYAGCTGCACTTCTTTTGAAATACTCAAGGAAATCAGGCCTCTGGACAGGCCAGGAAACAGCTGTATTTATTGGGGACTACCTCAACGTGGCAAAGRAAGGCCAACAGAGAAGTGCATTTTGGATACACTTCCTGCATCAAGAGGAGATCTTGGGAAGGTACTGTTCGAACAGGTCCTGAAACCAAATGTTTACCCGTGCTGATTCTGTCTAAATATGAATGAAACCTGTCTGGTAAGAATTCGGTAAGACTGGTAAGACTGGTGCCTGTCATTCAGTCAGCCCAGTGCCTTGTTGCACAGCAGGCCTTACCCACTGATTTTGGAAGACTGTAAGTTTGTTCTAGGGGAACTACAGGAATCACATTAGGAGAAGACTTTTCCTTTATCTTAGCTTGCACTCAGTTAGGCTTTGGCTGATATTTTGAAGCATATGTGTGTTATGCTTTTCCAAAACTCCTGGATATTTTATCAGTCTTTGCTACACTAGTTCTTCCTACCACCCCACTTACCTCTCTGCTTTTGCATTTTGGGAAGAACAGGCTGCTTCCTTATTTTCTTCTGGCAGCCGTGTTAGTGTCTGTCTTGTCGTTACATCTCTTAGRCCTGACTTCACCTTCCTCCATGCTGGGATAATTGCATGGGAGCTTAAGTGACACCTCTGTTTATTTGACCTCTGGCTTTGTGCTAGAGCATTCCTGTCTCTGATATTGCCATACATTCAAACAAGGCACCCTTAATTTAAAATAAACTTGGTGTTTAAGAGAGTGTTGCCCAAATTGACAGCAGTTAACCCGACAGAGATTTCAGAGTGGGCTTTTGCATAAAAGAAGCCTCTTTCATCCTCCTCACGGGTAGGAGATTTAGCAATTAGTGTTACTCAAGAGGGCACAAGCACAGGGGCTCTCGTAGCCGGAATGAGCTCGTTTGTTGCCTTCATCTTCCCATGTGGACTCCAGCATTTGCTCTGGTCGTAGCGGCACAACGGCAGCTCTGCAGCGGCCAACTGGGGGAAGCTGGTGCCGGGCTCGAGCTGGTGGGGACTGGTGAGGAGCAGACAGTACCAGTCCCTTGTGCTGGGGAGGCTGTGCTCGTTGCTGCTCGCAGAGTTTGGGTTGCTGCTGGAGAGGGCTTATGAATTAGTACAGGTTAAGAATGCTATTTTTAGTATTTCTGACTTAGGTGGCCCACCAGCGTCAGGAGGAGTGGTCTTCTTTAAACATGCTCAGTGTTAGGAAAGCAATCCTAGCATCTAATTAGTCTTTACAGCATATTATGCCTCTAAGAGAAAAAAAAMCCATAATTTTAGTTGCTGATGCTTTAAATGACACACCCAACAGTTGGATTTGCCTGGAAGCAGCCGGGCTCTGCCTTGCTGTGATTTTTCTGTTTACCTATGAGGGCTTCACAATCACAGTCTGCTGCAAATCTGGCTACACCAAACACCTGTCTGTTTGTTTAGGTACGTTGGGAAAGAATATAAGGAAGAAAAGGGGCTGCTTCATCATTTCAGTGACGTGGAACGACAGATGACTGCCCAGTACTACGTGACAGAGTTCAACAAGAGGCTGTACGAGCAAAAGATCCCCACGCAAATCTTCTATATCCCTTCTGCAGTACTCCTGGTAAGAGCTCTCTCTGGAGCATGATACAAGGGAATTGATATATAAAGAAGGTTGTAAATTGATTTTGATTTAAAATACCAATTCTTAGGCCACCTCTAGCTGGCACATTATAATTCATATGATCTTACCAGCTAATTGCATTAGCTCGTTTCAGATGAGCTAATGTAGATGTCATGTAGATGCGTCTACATGCATCTTTTCCAGGTAAAACAGGCATGATTAAATGGGGCGCACTGCCCAGCATGGGAAAGTGGGATCCAGTACTCCTATATTCTTCACGGAAATATTCATTATGTACCTTTTAGGGTAATATTCTATCTTATTTTTTAATTTTTTTAATTATTTTTTCAAGTGCAGAGAGGTAAATAGTTTCTCTCTGTATGTTGCACAGAGCAGAATTAATTGTTTCAATAATAGTGTGTACGCTACAGCATGATGTGCATGTTGCTATCTCTGCTAGGCAGTCAGGCACTAGATCTGACTTGTGCCACTGGCTAATAATGATGAGAACCTGGCATCCATTCTCAAGTCTTTGTACAAAGAAATTAATAATTAAATAGAAAAACTGCTGATTATTTGCACATTTAAGATAAAGCAGATACAAGTTTACCCGTGAGTAGCCTTTTCACCTTTCTAGCTTGGTCTTTAGACATAATCCCCTGAAGCATATTTCCAGTTTGCTGAAAAAAATGGACATTGGTAGAATTTACCGCTAACAGAGTCTGGCCTTCCAGGATGATTTCACGTTGTATATCGTATTGCCATTGCTCTAGTTAGATGTGAACTCCTCTTGTAAACATGTGTTTCTTGACTCAGCAGTAGGATAAATATACCTTTTTCTATTTTTGATGGAAAGTTGTAGGAGGAGAAAAACAAAATGCAGTTTGTAGAGATTTAGCATCCTTGTTTTCCCTTCCCTGCTTGGATAACTAAGATTAAAACTCTTTTCAGATACTGGAAGACAGAAGCATAAAAGGATGTGTGAGTGTGGAGCCCTACATGCTTGGAGAGTTTGTGAAGCTCTCTAATAACACCAAGGTAGTAAAGAACGAGTACAAAGCCACGCAGTACGGGCTGGCCTATGGCCACTTCTGCTATGAGTTCTCCAAGGGAACAGATGTTGTTGTTGATCTACAAGGTTTGTATTGCAGAGAGTTTCACATTTTGCATAGTCTCTCATGTTCCAGAATATGCTGTGCAAAGGGCAAATCCTCTGTAAATGACCCAAAGTGAAGGGGCTGTGTGCAGATACGCTCTTGGCTTGTGCAGTGCTATTGCTGTCCAAGCAGACAGAGCTGAGCACAGTAATACAAAGACTGTGCTGTTTGATACCAAGGTGTGTCCTTTCCTCTGCAGGCTGGGTGACAGGTAACGGGAAAGGCCTCATTTACCTCACAGACCCCCAGATTCATTCTCTTAATCGCAAGGATGTTTCACACGCCAACTTTGGGAAGAGAGGAATTTATTACTTCTTCAATAATCAACACGTGGAGTGCAATGAGATCTGTCGTCGCCTTTCTTTAACGAGGCCCGTGATAGAGCCACCAGTGTAGACTCACAGAAGACAGTCCAGCAGAAAATGGCCCAGAAAACGGACCATGTTTTCTCCTGCACACGTTGAGGAATGCTTTGAGTCTGTGAGAACAGAGCTGCTGAGGCAGTACTGTGTGATACCTGTCAGTTGGTACCTGGGCAAGCCTGGGGAAGGTCTGATCTTCATGTCCAGGCTCGTAATACCATCTTGTGTACAATCTGAACTGTTTTTATATGTTTTTAATGTTTTTATACCCATCTATAAGAATTAACTGGAGAGTGTAAGAGGAATAGGACCGCAGCCTCCGAATTTCGTGCCTTAGCAAGGCATGCCCTGCTGGAGTGCATATGCTGCTAATCCAGTTGCAGATTTAGTAAGGGCAGTTGGCATCACCTCCACCTTAGAAATGAAATAGGAAACAGAAAAAGACAGAAGCAGAGAGCTGTACTCCAACCAGTTTGGTTTAACTGTGTTTATAAAAGTCTCAGCAACTTGTGCATGTGCTTCAGGGAACAAAAGGTACTGTACCAGGGTATTTTTGCTATTAAAAAAATAATAAAATGTAGTTCTTTTCAAATGTGTGTGTTTAAATGTGCGAACACACAATGTCTAAGCAGGAGGCACTGTGGTATTAACCGTAACAGCCAAGAAAACTACTGCTCTTAGGGGAAAACAAATGCTGTTCACGAGCATCTTCTGACAGTAGCAGGAATGATTTAGGGCCGAGAAGGTCCCTGTGCAGGCAGCAGCCTGAAGGGGCACGGGCACCGCAGTGAGCCTGATATGTGTATTCAGTGGGGTCTTAGCCCCAGAACAGAGCCACCCCCGAAAGGAGTTTTGTTTCCCAGGTACTGCACAGCAGTTTGCAACCTGATTTCAGAGATCGGGATTTCAGAGACACGAGTTTAACTGTGCTGCATGCCTGCAGTAGTCTGCATGCTCCCTGCATCAGCACTGCAGCAGAAGGACTCGCGGTAGCCTGCAGAGCTTGCAGCCCACAATCCAGTCATCACCACTGGCACATCTGCCAGAGTTAGCTGCACGCTGACCTGGTTTGGAAGAGCAGGGCTGCCAGACTACAGTGCAGTCCATCCGCCTGCAGTGCACAGGCTGCTTGGTGCATGAGCTAAGCTATCACACGTGCAGTTTACTCTAAACACTATTCAGGGCAGGTACTGGAACTAGCTTGTGGGAAAAAGAAAACAAAAAACGAAACCCTATAACATTTAGGTGATATGTTGACACACCATCCCTGTCAGCAACCACAAGAGCCCTTATCCTCTCACCGCAGCCTGCTCAGGCAGCTAAAGACTTAATTTTGCCCACACAATGAGGGAGTTTTCCTTGTCACTTGTGCCTGTGCTGAGAACATACTTTAGCATCACACATCCAAACAGCTGCAGCTTAGAATATGTGCCCAACGCAAACACTTGAGCTGTATTTTGGTTATTGTTCGTGGTTATAAAGTGTGCTCTGAGAGCCCCTGATTTTTAACACGGGTGCTCTTTGAAGGGCCTGTGGTATGCGTGCTGGCCGCGTGCTTCAATAGTGCTCGCCCGGGTTAGAGGCAGCTGCAGCTCTGCACTTTCTATGAAACAATCTTTTGTGGATTTTCTGTTGTGGTGGTGGGTTTTTTTCTTTTTTTAAACCAAAGCTTGTAATTCATTCGTGTGACCTCGGCGGGCTCCTGTGAGCCAGCACCTGGAGCGGCGCCGAGCGCGAGCTGCACAGCTATGCCGCTCGCTGCCCGTGGTCCCACCGAGGACGCGGTCACATGCCAGCAACCATCGGCTCCGGGTGCCCCTTCATCCCCCACGGCCTTCCCGAGCACCAGCCTACTGGTGTGGGCAATGATAATTCAGAGACGAAGGCCGCGTGGGTGTTACTGCAGCCTGGGGAGAGGCCCCATGGCCACAGGCCTTGAGTCGAGGCCTGCTGTGGGCGGGTTGTGAGGAGCCAAGTGCTCCGGGCTCCCCCTCGGCGTCCAGCGGGAGAGGAACGTCACGGCTGCGGGAAGGGGCCCRTGTCAGCCGGTCACGAGCACCTTGCAGGTACTGTGTCCACGTTTCACACACGCAGAGCCTCCTTCAGAGAGGGCTGGCAACAGGGAGTGAAGGGGCGTTCACCCGTACCAACACAGTGTTCAAAATCTTCTACAACCTGGACAGCAAAGAGGAGTTAGGTAAAATCCCTGGTTAAACCAGTTGCACGTGCAGCTTACACCTAGTTGGCAGCAGGCAGCRAGTGCTCTTGCCGCCTTTCGGCCCGTCCTGCTCGGTGCTGTTCGCCAAGCAGAAGGGAGGGAGGCCGGGAAGCTCCCTGGGGAAGTGTCAGGCCTGGCCCRCGTGCTCCCTCTGAGTGCCGCTGGAATAGCTCTCCGCGCGGAGGGTGCCGCTGCCCCCAAATCCGCCTCTGGAGTCAAAAGAAAAAGCGACGCTCTGTCCTTGGAGGACCTTGCCAGAGGCTTCCTTCATCTCCCTTCCCCCCCAAAGCCGAACTGTGCCCGGCACCCTTGTGCCCCATGCTGGAAAGGCTGGGATCAGTCCTCTGGGGAGGAGAGCTCGATGGTGAGAGCGCGAGCACCCCCCTGAAGGGAACTGCCACAGAGGGATCGGTTCCCAGCACAGCGCTAACCATCAGCACTGCAAAGCCGTCAGCTTCCGTTTCTTCCAGATTTTTGCTCTTTTGTTCCCGCTTTTTATCACCGCTGTCATTTTCAGAGTAACGTTAGTGCTGGGTTGTTTGGAAAATGCCCTATCCCGACACCCAACAATTGGCACTAGGTGTGAAGAATGAGCAACAAGAGTTTAAAAAAAAAAAATCTCTTTATTATGGCACATAAACCTTCGGTTCTGGGGAGCTGGGCAGCTGCGCAGGAAGAAAAATGCATTCAAAAATATAATGCTAGTGTGAATAATCCTTTCCCGGGTGCTGCCCGCAGCCTGCCTCAGCTTTGTCAGGTGAACTTGAACYGGGCCGCGGCTTTGCGGCGGTTCCCATTGCCCGCTGCCTGTCACCCCGGGGCATTCACCGTCTTGCCTGTTGTTCGGAGCGAGCAAACAATCCATCATTGAGCCGCCCAGTCGCTCGCTCATAGAAAAGGAAAATGGGCATGTGACGGTACACTCGGCCCCGCTGTTTCGCAGATTAAAGTGATACATGGAAACTCACGTGTTACTGGGAAGATTAAGCCAGTTATCTTGTTCTGCAGCCAATAAAGGCCGGCCTTGTCTGCCCGAGGAAAGCGCCAGATTTAACCAAGTGACAAAAATCGTGCGTGCGTCGGCAGGAGCGCCTGGGAAATGCGGCTATAGACTCCGGAGAGGAAACAAAGATAGCGAGAAAGATTTCAGGAATTAATAGGCAGCGGAGATGCTGTGTTAAAGCCTCTCTGTGGAGCTCTATAGAGACAATTAACCGCAAAACAAAGCCCCCTGACAATGCTCAAAGAACAAAGTGGTCTCATACTCTGTCAGCCCCACTGGCCCTGCAGGGCCTGGCTCGTGACACATTGCGTTTGAGGTACCCTCCTCATGCATGGACTTTGCATTTTCCCACTTAGGTTTCTCTTAAGTAAAATAAAATGGAATTAAACCGTGCTTTTGAATAAATCTACATGCGGGAAAAATTAATATTTAGAATTCTTCCTAATATTGCAGAATTAGCATTTACCAACTGTCTTCCTTTGCCGTTTCATATAATAAGCTTTACCATCACAACTAAGTTGATGGCAAATTTTTTTTTTTTGAATAAGTAATTTTTAAAGTTAAAATCGAATATGAGCTTGTCCAGGTTGCAGTTACAATAGGAATCATAATATTTAACCTTGTAGCTTCTCCCAAAACTAATGATCACGAATCGGATGTACCAACACGCTGGCTCTCCTTCAGCCCTCTCTCTGCATCCCACCCTTKAAAACTGGTTTGAAATCCTGAATTAACGCGTCTGCGAGTTGTCACGCAGAGAACTGCAACAGGAGCACCTGAGCATCCGCTCCTTTCCCTCCAGGCCCTGAGTTTGCCCTGGCGAGGGGGAGCTCATGCTCGCAAGGCTGCCTCAGCGAGTATCCGAGGCACAGACACCCCGTGCTTGGGCAGCCGGGCGATGCAGCGACGTGTCCCCACCTGCCCCTTCGGGAAGCCGGGCCGTGAGGGGCGTCTTCTCCATACCCTCCGCAAGGATGCAGGTGAAAGGCGGGGGGCTTGCTGGATGCACTTGATGCACTGATCTACAAAATTTAACTGATCTGATAGGAAAGGGGAAAAGCACATCAGTCACCACAAGAGCGCTGACAGTTTCATTTCTTCTCTGCTTACTAATATCTACTACCACRTCCTGCAAAGAACCAAAACCCGGAGCGCTACTATTTCTTTCCGGTCTCAGTTTATTCCCATTACCAACCGYGCAGACTAAACTTCCCTCACGGGCTCCTTTTAGGAGGGATCGCTCTCTTTGGCGAGAAGGCAGCCAGCCACGAGGAGCTCGCTCTGCGAGGCGCAGGCGCCCTGCACGCGTCGCGGCGCGGCCCGCGCGGCGCC